GGGACAGCACCGAGGAATTCCACAGCAGTGTTTCCTGACCAGACACAGCAGAAAACAGACCCAGAGTAATGGGAAGAAACCAAAATTAGCTTCTTTACAAGCTATTAAAGCATGAGGCTTGGCCACCATTGCCCACGTTATAACCGGAAGGCTAACAGGTTTGCTCTTACTTTTTCTCCCTACTTACAAATACCTTCTTTCTTTCCCTATTACCCCCCTGAAAGGTAATAATCAAAGCAGGAACTTAGATGGGTGGGTCTCTCCTTCCTTTTCAAGCAAGCTCTGAATCAAACTTCCTGAGAAATCCACTGTAAGCAACTTGAATGACATGGCTGAATTCTTGGCTGGGGCAGATTTGCAGCCTGCTAGCCTTGAAGTGTGCCAGCTCCTTTATTAAGTTTTTATGTTAAAATATTACTATCCTAAGGAGCATGGAGACCATTGCTGACCCAAATTGCTGCTTCCTACGAAGCAGATACGTGAGTAAGTAATATAATTGGGCTTTTGTTTTTTAAATAGATTGTCTTAAGGGAACAGTCTATCTTTAATAACTATACATTTTTGCTTAGCACTTCTAAATTTATAAAGCACTTTCTCATGTATTTCTCCACTTAATCATCATCCCACCGAGTGATGCAGGTAATCCTATCTTCAGTCCACAGACGAGGAAATGGTGTCTTAGAGACACAGATCCAGGGTCTCTATCTCCAATTATGGTATATTTATTACTCCTAACCTCAGGGTTTCTCTTTTGTAATTTTTTTTCTTCCCAGTTTTTCAGCGGCTACTTTGGGAATTTGCCTTCTAGGGGTGCAAACCTGGAGATGGGGTAATACTTAAAAGACACTCTGCTGACAGTGCTCAGCAGAGTCTCAGAGCCAAAAGGGGTGGTAGAGGCTATTTCCAGCTTCCTTATTTTACCAAGAAGAAAACAGAGTCCCACCAACAGGCTGACCAGCCTATGCGGCAAAGGCTGCAGGCATAAAATGTTTAGACTAGAAGCCCAACCTCCTGGCCCCTTGTCTCCATCCCTTGGTCTTAAAAACTCTTTGCAGCACAGCCTTTAAAATCAAAGGAAAAAAGAAAATTAAAATCAGTACTTGGTTATTATAAGTTCCCATCCTGTATTTGTTTGATAAAATGGAAAGAGCCTATTAATTGAGAAATCATGAAATACTGTATAGAAGACAGCCTGGAGATAAACTGGGGTAATACTTTGTGGGGGGTTTTGTTTGTTTGTTTGTTTTTATTGTTTTTAGGTTAACATTGATTTATAATACTATAGATGGTTTAAGATAACTACAGGTGTAAGTTGTCACACCATGTCCACCACTAAAATACCAACAGTCTTCCACCATAGCTTTAGTTCTGCATGTGAGAAAACTGAGGTTCAGCAAGGCCAACTCAGCTTCAGAGCTGGGACTTAACCCAGGTTCTGGTCTCTAGTGAGCAACCCCCACCTCTGTGACCTCTGTGGTAGACAGTGTCACGTGCTGTTTGCCAGCTTGTCAGAGATGGTCCACCTTAAACATTTCCACACACAATTACCTGACTCAGCCCTGGCTTTCCTTGGCAATAGAGATTAGATATCAACTGCCAGCTTGGATGGTGTGTTCCCGAGGCAACATGGAGAATTCAAGCTGCCAACATCGAAGTCTCAGGGAAAGTAAAGTGTTGAACCAGTTAAACATCCAAAAATACTTTGTCTCTCAAAAACAAGGGTGATTCATCAGAGGACTTGCGCTACATGGAGAAGGCATCAGAGTGACCCCAGAGTCTAAAAACCCCACTCAGAAGCCTGCTCTGACCTTTTGATCACAGCTTCTGCTTCACTCAGCTCCCCATGAAGCCTCCCTTGACTGTGCAATCCCAGGTGAGTTCTCTCCTCACATCCTGAAGTTCCACTCTATACAGTTGGCACTTGACTTTATAGTGTCTTACATTGTTTCTTAACCATTTGGAATGTTTATTTGAAAGTTCACATGGGTTGCAAATGCTCTGAGAGGAAGAAGGAGACTTCCTCCTCCATACCCTCAAGTGTGTATCAGGGTGTCACCAAGAGTAGATGCTCATGCTCACAGTTTCCTGACTTCAAGACTCTTTCACAAACTTTGCATTTCCACACACAGCATCTGCTCAATATCATTTCATTTGCTCCACTGTGACTTCAGCCTTTTCAAAGCCAGAGTTCAGCACCCGGGCCTCTGTAGGCCCACACCAAGGCTCTGTGCAAAACAGAGAGGAGCCCCTTTCTGCAGGCTAGAGGAGCACTGGCTGAAGTGCAGCTCCCCAACTGGCTGCCTGGTGTCGTGAGCCACTGGGTTCTGGTTCCTCATGATGACAGCAAGATAATCTCTCTCCCTATAGCCTTCCCAGCTCTCCCTCCTAACAGGGTAGGCCTCACGGGAGAAAACTAACTTAAGAGGCTTATTTACCAGACTCCTGTTGTCAAACACAAACAAAAACAATACACACCTTCAATATCTTCTCGATTCTCAGGACCCAGCAGTGTTGATACTCCTGACGAGGCATTTGTGGAAACTGTACAATACAGTTCCAATATTCTTTCCTCTACTGAAGTCCTAGAATTCACCATGAGTTGTCCTACTCCTGAGCTTTTTCTTCCCCTCAGCCTAGAGTGCCCTTGCCTGCTGATCTTGGTGTCAGATCCCAATTCCCCTTGCAAAGCCGGTCAGAAACCTTATCTAGTCCATCAATCAACATAAATGGTCTTCTAGATGCTTCTCACCTCAGCTCTTGTGACTTCCACATTGCTTTGATGTCTGTTACAGCTCTTCCCACATATAATCATGTAGCCCAGCAGCTAGTGGTCCACACAGGCTTCTCTGCATTCACTCTGCCTCAACACAGATGCAGAACTCAGCATCACTGAGAGCTCCCCAAAGGTATACAGTTACAAACAAATTGGGAAACAAAATCAGCTTTACAACTCATCTGTTTCACAGGAAGAGTGAAGAGAAGAGACTCTCTCCCACGTCCTCAGTCAACTGATTACCAGTCTCTGCAAGCTCTCCTGTGCTTAAAATGCTTGCTCTCTCACTAGCCTTCCTGGGGACACTCTCAGCCAGGCTGAGTGTCTGCATGCTTTCCCCATTCTGCCCCAACCCAACTTATTTCCTTCTTATTTTAGTAGGTGGAACAGCTAAGGTGGCCCCAAGTCCTACCTGCAAGCGACATCCCCAAAGGCATCCTGAAGCTCAGTCGAATGTAGGCTGTCCCTCAGTTCCACCTTCTTGAAATGGCAGGAATAGACAGAGCAAGAATATTTTTCTTTTGACAGGTGTGTTTTCCTCCATAGTGAATATGGTTCAGTAGGTAAGGACAGTACCTTCCACCTGTGCTCAACACCTCATGAAAACATGTCCAGCAAGTCTATCTTCTGCCTTCTCTAGCCCTCTTTCTCCTAAGGAAGGCCTTGAGCTACAGTGAGGAAAGTATCTGAACACATAGTAAGTGCCTAATAGTTGTGAAATGAATGAGTCAGTGAGTAAAAGGGAAACATGGAAAGGTTAAAAAAGAAAACTTTGAGACCTCCCCTGCAGGGATGATCTCAGCTTAGCTGAAGGACTTTGAGAACCATAAAGGGTGCGAGAATGAACTATGGATGGTGAATGCTAGTGTGATGTGTGAAGAGGCCCTTCTGGTATTGACTCTGCCATGGAACCTGGGGTGGGGGTGGGGCTAAGGGGTCAGAGCCTCAGTTCTCATCTGTTCTATCATTCTGCCTTAAAATGGCCCAATATGGACCCTGACCATCAGGGTCCTTGGGGTTCTTTGACATTCATGTTTGAGGCCTCTTCTCCAAGTGCCCAGACATCCAGAGCCCCCTGGCGCCTCTGCATCTACAGAAAGCTTTTCTTGGCGACAGTCCTGGCCTGGGGACCTTCACTGCCTGCTGGCAGAAAAGAATTCTCAGCTGTGGAAACTGGTAAACTCCACATATTTTATAGATGAGAATTCAAACTCCTGATGACTCTAAATGTGGTGTGAAATGGACAGAAGTCATCCTGCTGGTGTGACATGCCTGAAATAGTGTTGCTACCCGTCCCCCACCCCTCCCCCAATGAGGGCATGCACGTCATGGAAAGAGAAGAAGCAACAAGTCACCAGTGCCTTGGCAAATGCTGTCCCCCATCTCTTACTCCTCCCTCTTCCGTGTTTTATCTACATTATAAAAATAAGAAAAGGTCTGTTTGCTGTGCAGGGAAAACAGCCCACAGTCACCTAAAAGCAAAAAAGGGAATCAGTCCTGAGATCTCTAACCTGGTCATCAGTGTCAAAGTCTGGCCACTGTGATGGCCGCCCTGTACCTACAGAGAGAATTTTCAGATTGAAGAGCCAGCCACCAAATCACACACACACACACACACACACACACACACAGATGGAGAGGATGATAGAGACAGCAACAGAAACGTGCCACTGGATACTAGTGATTTGGAGACTAGAAATTATGAGTTCATGGGAAACGGAGAACTCGATTTTTTTTTTCTTTCTCTCATTTCGTCGAGGTATTAAAGCAGCCTAGAAGATTTGGTTGAGATGTGGATATATTCAATGGAATTTTGTCAAATGGTCGTCCTCAGTCCCCGGGGTCAGTTGGCCTCTGGCATCCAGCAGAGACCGCTCGATGTATCCGCTCGATACCTCAAAGCTTCTCACTCCTCCCTAATCAAAGCCCAGTCGGTAAGACCGTAAGACACCCCTTAAAGATGCCAGCGCCCGAGTTGCACCAGAGGGGCGAGGGTTTCCAGTAAACTGATCCGCATTCATGTGTGTGCGTGCGTGTGCACGCGTGTGTGTTTGTGTGTGGCGCGTGTGTATGCGCGCGCGCGGGAGTGTGGCGGGGGCGGGCTCTGCACCCAGGGGCAGGGCTCCACGGCGAGAGTGGCAGCTGGACTTAGTAGGCTGCTAGGGGCAGGGAGCCGCAGTGCCGTACTAGCCCGCTGCTGAGCAGACAGCTCTACAGCCGCGGAAAAACCAGCAAGCAGAAGACCCCCGCGCTGCCCAACCCTACTCCGCACCCCCACCCCCACTTCCCGCCCGCAGCCCCGCGGCGCTCACTCCGGCTGCCGTTCCCTTCCCCAAGAGAGCAGCGCCGGCGGGAAGACGCCCAGAGGCCAGCTTCTGTCCCCCTCTGTCTCTCGGTTCCTCTTTCCTCCCAAGTAAGGGAATAAACACGAAGGAGCGCCCCGGGGAACCGCGCGCAACCAAGTGTTGCTTGGTGAGGTAAGAAGGTGGCGGGCGCAGCGGAGGGGTCTCGGGTTCCGGGGACGCGGGCTGCAGCAACTTAGAAAAGAAGAGCAAAACGGTAGCCATTCCCATTGCAGGGGAAGGGGCTGCAGCCAGAGTCACTGCGCCCACTCCGACGTAGCCACCTGCCGCAAAGCCCTTGCAGAAGGAGATCCCCCGCTGGAAGGGTGAGGGCACTAGAGGGGTTCAGTCACCTGCTGGTTCTGTGATTGTGGACCTTCCAAACCTCAGAGGCGTGCTGGCGTGAGGCGGCCTTGCTCCAGGCAGTTTACTGAAGCAACTAGTCAGGATTCTCCCCTCCTAGACTTACCTTGGTTACTTGGTTTCCAGTTCGCCTTCTAGGTTGCAAAGAGGGCGGCAAGGAGAGGAGTCTGACTGCCAAAGCCTCTGACCGTCCCGCGGGGCTCCAGGACTTTGGGGGCACTCCATGAAGCTCCTGGGGAAGGGTCGCTGAAAGGGCAGCAGCAGACAACACAGACACCTTGACAAATATCAGATAGGGGGACAGAGAGGCATGCCAGGTAGACCATATAAAGTTGACCTGTTTAATCTTCTAGTCAAAAATATGTGTGTGCGTGCGTGTGCGCGCGTGTGTGTATTGGAGCGCGCGCGTGCGCTTGTGTGTGCCCCGCCGTTGAGGAGCGCGCACCCAGTATCACCTGTAGGGCTTGCATGAACTCCACCATTCGCTCACCCTGCATATTCTGAGATTTTCTGCGTAGACTAGAATTTGGGGAGGGGGCTGTGGAGTTGGAAGAAACCCTACAGGTGATTCTGATGCGCCGCCCCCATCCCCGCCATCACTGCAATGGAATGGGTGAGACGAGAGTGAGGAGGCAACTCCCAGATGTGAGCCAACCAGTAGCGGAACTCAGGGGTAGCGCGCAAGCCCCCTCTCCCAGCAGCCCCGCGCGGCTGGAGGGTCTGCGGCAGCGCTTGGTGATTTGTGGCTGCGCCGCAGTGGCGCGAGGGAGAGCGCCAACCTAGGGGCGCGCTCGCAGGCGCGGCGCTAGCAGGCGCGGCGCGGCGCGGCGGTTTCCTCGGGCTGCATTAGCATGTGATGACCTAGCTGTCCGGAAGACGGGTGGGAAAGGGGGAAGCTGTTTGCCTTTCTAACGTGTCCGGCGTTGGGGGAAATGCATCTGGGGGTGTGGACCAGGAGGAGTCACTGATGAGGCACAAAGGTTGGGACAGGGCTGGAAACTGTCCCTCGGGTTCCAATTGGAATTAGAGAAAAATCTTGGTTCTTTCGGTGTCAGGGAGTCGTCTTTGTCTGTGACATACAACCTGCATGCTACTTGCTGGAGCACAGGGTATCCTTGATGTCAGTGAAGGACATTAGATCACTGGGGGCAAAAGTCATAAAGGTTTGGTCACACGTGTGTGAATACACACACACACACACACACACACACACCCTATCTTTGTACTTTATATCCTCGTGTTCCACAGATAATTTTTGAAGGTAGGAAGGGGTTGCAGTGTTTCTTGTGTTAAAAAGGGCTGCATTTGCCAGAGATTCTGTGCTGAATATGAATTAGATTTATTATAATTATTATAATTTATAATTATTATAATTTATTATAGCTGTAACCAAGCTAATTTCTCTGTGATATCCCCGATCTAAGATTTTTCTTTGCAATCACTCTTATCATTTATGTTTAGCCTATAGGCCGTATTACAGATGTTTTGTTTTGTTTTCTGGGAGGGATCTGGGAACTGTAAACAAGTAGATGAGTCTTCCTCACTACAGTTTTAGGATTCGATGTAGAGCTTTGGTTCAGACCAACAAAGACTTGGAGAGAACATAATAAACATCAGAGCATCTTGGAATCTAGACTCTCAGAGATAGGAGAACTACTAAGGTCATCTATTCCAACTCAACCTCTCCCCTAGTTCCCCAGAGAGCTCTTCATCAGGTTGGGAGGTTCCCATCAACCCTGAACTCCCAGAGGTACTGGCTGTACACTTATGAGGTTCTGCCAGTGGAGAAATCCAGAAAGCAGTAGCTTTTCCCCTTGTGTTTATCTAGGGGAAGATATTGGCTCCCAGCTTCTCCCCTGGAGTGGAAGCAGGAACAGGAAGTAAATTTATTGTGGTAAAAGCCCTTTTAAAAGTATTTCATCATCATGATACATACATTCTTTTGGTAAAAAGCAATTCCTACTCATTGCAGAAAATTTGGAAAATTGACAGTGTGCAAAGAATCAACCAAACCACTCTCAATTTCACCACCCAGATTTCATACTGTTAGTATGTTGATACTTACTTTCCATTATTTTAATGCCTTGAAATCATACAATCCATACAGATCCATACATTTATTGTATGGATCATGCAATCCATACAATTATTGTGTACTTAATATGTGTATTTCTCAGGTTAAGTTATTTATATTCACTGTGTCATTTAACCGGAAGAAGTCACTCTGGGGAAGTTATTATTATCAAACCCACAAGGATTTCAGTTGCCCAAGTCACATGACTAGTAAGTGGCAGAGCCAAGATTCAACAGTGTTACCACCTCCCTGGTCAAACTCTGTAATAATTATTTTTCACTGACTTCAATGCATGTTTCTTTTAGATATTGTGGATAGTTTTTTTCAGTTATAATTTAATCACTATATTCCTGAGTGTAATCCCAGAAACCTAGAATCTTAGCTATCATCCTTATTCCTAGAATTTTAGGTATCATTATACATTCTTGATAGTGATTAGCAAATATGGCTGGACTTTGCTAAAACCTCAAGCTTTCTGACTTGTAGGCAGTTGCTTAGCCTCTGTGGTTTTCAGTTCTTTGCACTTCTCTTAGTGACTGTTTTGGGAAAGTCCTTCATGAACAACATTTTCATGGCTGCGTATTATTTGTTAAGTATTTAAATTGTTTCCTGCCTTTAGCAACTACAAATAACTGCACAATATCCCTGGGCAAAGTCTTTGTGGTACACATTTCCAATTACTTCCTTTGGATAGATATCCAGAAGTGGAATCATTGGGTTAAAGGGCATGGAATGTTTCATGACTCCTGACATATATGAGTCACTTTTTGAAAAGGCCTCTCTAATTTACATTCACACCACAGTCTAATCAGGGGACTCCTCAGGGCTCAACTAGACCAGGGCCTCAACACTATCAAGTCAGACCACACAAACATTCCCCTGGCCTCAGGGAATAAGAAACCATGATTCTCACCTTGCTTTGACACACAGGCAAGTTATATGACTATACCTGTTTTTATGTGAGTCAGTGACAGTTGCAGATTTATTTGGTGAGATGTTACATAGTAACTTTGAAGAAATGAAATTTTGGGTAAAAATTATAATTGGGCATAACATCCCACTTCTCCATATACATAATTAAAACTGTGCTCATGAATGGGCCTCTTCCCAAACCAGCCATATTCTCAGAGTTGTTGGCTTATCCCAAGACCCAACATTCTGCAGCCAAAGCACAGTGAGAGTTGATGTCACTTTATATATTTTGTTAAATATTTATTTATTTATTTATTTGTACAGAACTGGGGTACAAGCCAGTGGTGCAGGGGTGGCGAGAGGCTTCACCAGAGACAGAGTGGGGAGCAGAACAGGCAGATCGACAAAGTACATTGCTGAGAGGCACAGTGGGTGGGTCCAGAGAGCTCTGCTGTGCCATGTGGATCACATCCGCTGCTGAGCTTGAACTCGCACTGAGGGGACTGAGGCCAGCTTGCAGTGCTTTGTGCTTTGTGCTTTGTCCTAACCTATTGCGCCACCAGGGAGGGCCCTCACTTTATATCTTTAACAAAGTTCATCTACCCTTGTCCTCCCTGTAAAAACCCTCATGATTAGTAACTCCTGGTAAAATAATTTAAAATGAAGATTGTATATGCATCACTCCAAAAAATATTCTCGGGTAAGGAAACTATGGCAGCAGAACTTGATTTAGGCAGCACCAAAGAGGCAAAGAAGAGGTTTTCAAAGAAAATAAATTGGCCCTACTTATGAGTTTTCCCTAGGACCATGATTGTCCCATAGCAACCTCTGCCATGAGCCATGGCTTTAGGGGCACCTTGGCCCTGAATTAGAACCTTTTACTATAAATGGAATAAATAGCCACTTAGCTCCCACTATGAAATCCCATTTATTCAAGATTCTGCTCAGATCTTTAAAAATGGGCTTCTAGGACTGCTTCTGTGGGCTAGGGAAGCTTCTCCCATAGCATCTGTACACATACTAACCTCATTGTGGGTACATCACTTGTCTACATAGCCCCCACTAAACTGTGAGCTCCCTGGAGCAAAGACAGACCTGGTCCTTTACTACACTCCCAGTACCAAGATAGTACTTGTGCACAGTACACAACTATACATGATAATGAACAGATAAGAAAGTGTTCCAGACACTGCTCTGGGTACTTATGCGTGTTTCTCTTTCAGTGCATCTTTGTTCTGCTCAGACTATGTCAGAAATGTACGTGAAAAGTGTCTGGAGCTGTGCTCTTTCCACAGTGACTATTTCTATTTTCACTTAATTCATTAAAATTAAATTGCTAATTCAGTTCCTCACTCACACTAGTCACATATCTTAGTATTAAATGTCACATATAGCTTTTAACCACCATTCTGGAGAGTACATAGGCAGAGCATTTTCATCATTGCAGAAAATGCTACTGGAAAGTGCTGATTGGATTGTAATCTCGATGCAGGCAAGATGAATCTTGGTTTCCACCATCTCCCCTGCAATAGGATAGTGCCTGGCCAAAGGAGGAGGAGGGAATTAAAGAAATAGGAGGGGCAGTGGTAGGAAATAGAGTAGAATTAGGCACATCATTTATTGATGCTTGCTTTGTTCCAGTGTTGTGCTTTTATACATGTATTGTCTCATTTACAATTCATAGCACTACAAGTCTGGTGTTAACCCTATTTCCTGATTTCACAGATCAGGAAATGGAGTCTCAGAAAGTTTAAATGGTTGCAAAGCCAGCAGGGGATGCTGAGCT